GCTGCTTCGTAGAGCCGCCCGCATGTGGTGGGCTTTACCCGTCTCGTCGTCGCGGACAGCAGAGCGGCTGCTGGCCGGAGAAGTCGGTTTGAGGGCATCGTCGTCTTCCTCGTTTTGCAGATTGACTTGTGTCTCAATTAGGTCGGACGTGGAGCCTCGAGATATTTTGTGGCCAATTCTTTGGCATCTGAGACTTGTGACAATAAGGATGTCTTAGGTGTACATTAAAGAGCGATTAAAAGTTGATAGATGTTCAGCTTGAATCATTGCTCCAATTGCCGAATTGCGCCGATAAGAGCAGCTAACAAATTTCGTCGCTTATCAATCAGTGGCAATGACGCAAATCCTCGGGATACCAGGGTACAAGCTAGCTGTCGAACGGGCTCTCATTGGTCCGAGCGTTCTATTAGGTTCCTTCGCCGGAGTTTTACCGGCGTAACGGGTGCCGATCCAACAGACGAACTTGGGTCCATCCTTGCAATTTCTTATCCGTCGCTTTTGCAGAGCTCAAGCCACACGCCGTTCACGCCTCTCAGCCTCAACAACTCATATTCAGCAGCCATCGTGAAATGTTAAAATTCTGCGACAGAGCCATTGATAGGACAGAGACGACGCCTAACTGGCAATTCACATGTACGACCATTCTACACAGCTTTGTCCTTCACTAGTTTGCCCCTTTAAAGAACCACTGGTGGAATCCCCTGGCAAAGTCGGTGGCACTATAATCTCGCGTTGCCGCATATCTGGACATAGATCAGGCCTGCTCCCGCATCGCATAGCCAGTGTTACTGTGAGCCCTCAAGCTAAGTTATATGGAAACGAAGATCCCGAAGTTCGAGGGGAAAAGGGAAAGAAACAACAGTCTTTCGTGAACTGGTAATAGAAGCAGACCTTGGCTCTATTAGTATAGAGGAAGGGACGAAACCAGTGCCTAGGAACACTACCAGCACTACATAATCGCGTCATCCGTGCGATCATATTGACTTAGAGTGCCACCATCCCCAAGGTTTCCTCCGCTAAGACGCCTATACAGCACATTGGTCTTTTCAGTGTTTTCAGGCTGAGGGCTCTACTCACCCCCCCTAGATCATAACTGTTCGTTCACATCTTCTCCTTGCCATTGGTAGCATGTGCGGTCTAAGATAGAGCGGTAACGAAATCTGGTCTAAGCCATGGCGCCCGGTAGACCTTGTGTCGTTTGCGACGCAGTCGACGGCAAATACAAGTGCACTCGCTGTAATTTATATACGTAAGTACAACCTTATAGCTTACCATAACGCCTGTTTCTCACTTTCGTTACATAGATGCTCGCTCACATGCTTCCGAGAGCATCGCGATAATCACCCGGCAGTGGAAGCTTCTGCACCACAACCGCTAAGTACTACTTCCACGGCGCCATCAGACACCGTCAGCTCTCATGATGATTCTCGAGATTCCTCTCATAACGAGGGGGATGCGACGCAGTCTACCGCTTTTGAGCGGTCAGAGATTGCCGACATGCCAGAATATAAAGCACTCACTCAACGGTATCCTAACCTAGAGTATTTGCTTTGGAATATTGCAGCAGCCACAGACCCTCCTAACACCAATGGCAATGGCAATGGAAAGCATGGTGGATCCAACAATGGTTATCGTAAGGCGAATCAACCCTGGACGAAGGATATGGGCTATGAGAACGGCATCGAGGCGCTCCGCCGGACTAGAGACAACCCTGGAGACGATAGAGACGCTCTCAGGGAGTACTGCGAGCTAGTCCGAATCTACTCGGCTCGAAGAGAATCCGCCAATGCGGAGGCCAACATCCGACAGCAGCTCGCAAAGGAAGACGCCGAAGCCATCGGGGAGTTGTTAAAAGCCGAGAAATCCGACGTGTAATAGGGGGTTACCATATCGACTATAGACTTTCCATAAAGGAACTCATGGTACCATATAGCTTCGACACGCGCCACCCTCCATTCTCCCCCGATACCATACATGTATTATCTACGAAATTGAAGACGCTGTTTGGTAAGCTTGTCATTCATGCTTTGATTGCAGGAACTATCTAATCAAGGTCAAGGGGTTGCTCGACGGCGTCCGTATACTCTACCATTATCAGACCAAACTTGGCCAATAATGCAGAACAGGTTAAGATGTGGTCCTACTGTCCTTCTTAGGGCAAGTTCAATTTAGTAATGACCAAATTGCCTATTTCACCTTCTCTATCCGAGCTCTCGCACTTAGCACGTCTTTCAACAGCTTATGTTGGGCGAATATTATGATACCACCAAAGGCAACCTCGAATCAGGCTAAAACACCTACTACAAGACGTCTACGACTACTCCAAAATATGGTGCCTTGCGTGTTCGACCTGGTTCTGTACGATAGTATCCCGGCACCATAGTTGTCATAGTTTAATAATCAGAAGAGATAAACACAATTCTCATTTCTTAGCTTCCTATGAAGTACGAGGACATGTCCAAACTAAATCGCCTGAGATTTACGAATTTATTACACTTTACATCTAACTATGGGCCCTATCAACCCTCAGCTTGGATTCCTAGTAGGCACTTCATATCCAAGGACCAGCGGGCCAGAACCGCTACTAATTGTCCCAGCCTCTACACGCGTCATCTAAAATGTCAATCCACGTAACTCTAGCCTGCGTCTCCGTAATCAGTTCAACGTTCCGCATCGCGTAAAGGCCCGATGCGGTCCAATCTCTCCAGTCTTCAGGGGCCGCAAACATCTCCCGGAGGAATATCCGCGCCCCCTCCAACGCAAGGTACCCGTTATACCGCTCGTCCCCCGGGCTCATCTTCCGGCTTTGCATCCGGCTTTCTACATGCGGGATGCGCGGAAGGCCGCACCGCTCGATGAGCGCTCGAAAGACCCTGACGGCGTTGTCATGGCGCTGCTTTCGGCCCCGCGCCACGCCGTCGAACGTCGATATGATGTCTCCGTTTCGATCGTACACGATGTTGACGAAGATACTATCTTCTTCGTAGGGGATCAGGAGAAAACGACGGCTGAGCAGGCCAAGACATTCTGATTTGAACAGTAGAGTATCGGTGTCGACCCTTAGACACAAGTTAGGACAGACTACGTGGTCGCAGAGGTAGTCGAGGCAGGTGAGCCGATTGCCCGCGAGGACTTCGCACTTCCTCAGCGGTAGGTCGATGTTGTCGTTGATGTCTTGATACCACTTGTGTATCTCGCGTATATGGTTCAACCAGTCCTGGCCGTAACCGCCGAATTTGTGACTCTGGATGAGGGTAAGTAAGTCCCCAATTAGCCGATTTAAAAATCATAGAAATAGGATAGGGGTTGCTTGGGTTCATGATCAAGCCTACTCGAGAAGTGACTTAAGAGTGTGAAGCACTCGGCATACTAACCTCACATTTGAAAGATTGAGGCGGCGGCAGTGGCGGCAGCAGTTCCTCGCCTTCTCCCATATGTCGAAGGATATATGGAATAAAGCAGGCCGGCGAAAGAGGTGGCAAGAATGCGCTTCTCGCTTCGAGAGATGTTTCTGTGCGGGCTATTTGCTCGTAGGGAGTTAGATCGCCCATTATGAATTGTCGTAGATTATCTCTCCCTCTTCTTTTACTCTCACTATCCCTGACTATTGGATTATCTATTTTTTTCATATATTACACCTACTTACTATGGGCATTACTTCATTTTCTGCTATAGTATAGTAGACACTTGCATTATATAGGTGATGCTTCAGCTAGGACAGATATCTCTACGACTCACATACTTGAAGTAAACTACTAGAAATGAGTTGGAATGAGCAAGACTGACAACGAACCCGTCACGTCTATGGCAACGATTGAGTATATCCTATTCGCCGGGGCAACGGCTTGATGTATGTATTATCTATGGCGACGTGCCAGTCTAGGGTGGTACTTTATGAGCTATTAGACTTCCTGAGTTGAAATGGAATTCGATTCGCCGAAGTCATAGATAGGAACTGTCATGACTAAGAGGCTCCCAGGTGTCTAGTACGCGTGGCATCAAGGCTGGCTGCTATAAATGACAGGAGCAAATGATCATCAGAAATGGTGTAGCAAGCCCCTAAGGTGAATATCAATACGTTGTTCACATTTCTTTCGTGTCAACGACGACGTTCCGATGTATAGTAAATCACAGACTGTCAGATAGGGTATCTAAGTCGGGTGTCCCTTAAGCCACTGGCATGTTTGTGGCTCCAGAACAATATATAGCCAACAAAATTCTAGCATATTAAGACTCTCGAATGTGAATGTAATTGTGTTTTATGACTGTGAGTATTATCCAGCTAAATAACGTCTGATAATATTTGGATTTTTTCCCTACGACAATCAGTTGTTCATGTATACGACTGTCTGACCTAGCAGGTAGGTATTGAGGTACAGGGACAACGTTATTTACACGCTTGGGATCTTGTCAGCCCTGGCAGCTATTACACCTCCAGCAAAGGTCCATGTAGCAGCTATGTCGTGCATGTGTGACCAACTCTTTAGCATGCAAAGCACCTCACGCTTGCAGCTCTAGGGTCTTGTCTTCCTGCCCTACGCACGAGCACTGGTTCCTAGACTACTATTCACGCCCAAGTTCGACGACCAAGTTTGATATCGAAGGAACAACGCCCATCAATAGATAGATGCCTACCTACCTGTTCATCTCCCACTTCTGGGGTTGAGGAGCAATATTACGAGCCTAGCACAATCTCATCCGATACCTATCTGTCGAATTACTCCAACCCCACCTCATTCCTCAGGGCTGTCATTCAACTAGAAGCCACTGGCAATCGAGCTGCTGTGGCGACATCGGAGATTATTGTCAATGGCCTCTGGAGCCTCTAAGTTGGCTCGAGATATAGCGCAACTAGAAACTTCGAATCGGAACACTTGAATTTTAGCAAAATTGACAATTAAAAAGCGCTCGAGGATGTTAGAAACTGGCAAATATGAAGAACCGCCAATTCAAAGGATATGGGGGAAAAAAAGGATAAGGAAAAAATGCAAAAGAATATGCGACGCAGGCCTGATTCGAACAGACGCCCCCGAAGGGAATAGATTTCTAGTCTATCGCATTAGACCACTCTGCCACTGCGCCATTGCTGGTACCATTCAGGATGACTCTGATTGGTGCTCCAGTTGATAGTAGTTTGTGCGTTACAACATCTTATATGCCTACTGCGTGCTCCACTTAAGGCAACTCGAAATTCACTCCGCTACCTCGCAGCCCTTAGACACTCACACTCGATGGCTTCTACGATCAATCAATCAGTCCTACAACATATAGTTATGATATTCGGCTTTATAGAGCAAGAGTCGCCCTGCGATATAAGACAGAGGAGAGTAAGTACTTGTTATATTTTGGCATCGCCAACATCCTTTTACGCCATGAACTTACGTGTAGAAAGAGGAAGTCTGTACAAGTAGTAGATCCGGCAATCTTTTCGGTCGCCCGGGCCATAATTACAACTCTTCTGGTTCATACATTGTCCTTCTAGAGAGAATTCGGAAAACTTAGGAGAGGATGTACACAAGAGCAGTCAGTGTTCCCCCTTCGGGACATGGCGGAGAGAGAGTTGCTTCTTCGGAGGTTTACTCTCGGTCGCAGGCGAGACGGCGTATCTTATGCGACCGCAGCAGAACAGAAAACGTAGACGAGGACTCCAGCAAGACTTCCCTTCTTCTTTCCCACACTGCTTGAATCAATCTCCTCCCTAACAGACGAAATAATTATACTGACGAGAATGTACGTTTGCTTAGCCAGGTAGATGCCTAGATGATAGTCGGAATGCATAATAGTCATTCATTATTAAGTCCAGTCAGTCAGTCAGTCATTAAGATATTCTCATTAACATCATGCGCGGCCTTCTCTCCTGTCCTCTCCATTCCAACTCATCGCTTGAACCTCGACAGGAACCCCAACCTGAGGAACTTCGGCGGCGAAGGGGCCGCAAACCCTTCATCCTGCTTCTCGCGTATCGCACCTATCTTCTCGTCGCGGACCTGGCCGCCGTTCTTGCCCGGATTCCCTTTCTTGCCCTTCAGCGTCCACAGCGAGTCCGCCTTCCTAAGCAGCGGGATCTTCGCCGCAGCGGTCTTGGGCTTCTCGGGGATCTCGTCGCTCTGCGTCCAGTCGACCCGGTGTTCGTTTGCCGTCGCCGGATCGATCGCCAGCGTCTCCTCCGACGATATCTCGTCGAGCGGTGGGTCTAGTCTCCCGGTTGGATGGACGGTAAGTGGCTCGTCCTCTAGGATATTTCCGAAGCTGCTTTTCCGTCTCGATCTCACAGGTGCCAATCCGACGATACTGTGTCGGCGGCGGCCCTCTTCCGAGCTGACGCGCTCGTCCGGTACTGACCAGGGGTTTCGGAATTGGGTTCTTTCGTGAGGCATCTCGCGGTGAGTGGTTATTCGTTCTAAAGCGTTATTCTGCGGCGCTGGAGTAATGCCCGCGTCGAGCTCAGCTTGTTCAGAGGGCCGACGACCGTCGATTTGAGGCTTGAGCGCTGATTGCGATGAACTGTGCACGAGGTTCCTCTCACGCATGCCAGTACCTGTTGCCGTCCGTTCAAACTGCGTGGCTGCTTCCTGGGGCACGTGGTGATACGACGCAGCATTTACCGCGTTCTCCGTCGACGTGGGATCCGCTTTCGAAGACTTACGCCGTAGCTTCTCTTGTATGGATTTCGACATCGACATCGACCGGCTTGTTTTTCCTTCTGATGATTGGTCGGCACTTTCTTTTGAAATATCTGATGCTGATATCTTGCTTCTCGCCATTCTTGCAGCGAAGCTTGTCTCGCTGGGTCCTGACTTCGCGATTGCTGATTTTGGGGCGGCCGAGCTCGTTCTCCTGGTGTCTGACTGGCTCGTTGGAGTATCTAGCTCGTTGCTCTGCATTGATCTCCTTTTCTCCGGCCTTTCTCTCCGGCTCTTCTTCGCCGCTGCTTCTTGCTCCGCAATAACAACGTACAGGCGCCGACGTAAGTCGTCGGCATCGAAGGGTTGCGACTTGGCATGTCGGTTTTGTCTCGTCTGGTTCTGTTTGTATGAGTCAGTCTTGTGGGCAGCTTGCCCAGCTGTACCCGACTGTTGACGGCTATCTGCTGGTCGACCCATGGTGAGTTGCATTATATCTATTTTTCCCTATTTAAATGATATTTTCGAGGTAGAACGGTTGGGTGGTCAGGACTCGAGGACTGTCTAGCTCGTAATATCAGACCAAGATATAATTTAGGAGCCGAAGTCGTAAGTTTGCGTAAACCTTGCTGAAGGTATGAGAAGCCGGGAGAAACTATATTCTCAAGCCCTAACGAAGTGCCAATTCCTTATCTGCACACGCCCATCCCAAGTCGCGCGTGACCCATCCCATGAGACTTGAGCTTGCTCACGGAACGAAAACTAAGACAGCAGCGGTAATCGATGTAAGACCAACCTAATATGGTAAGTCCGCACGAACTACGGGAAAGTCCAGGAACGAGGAGGACAGAACCTTTTTTGGGACCAACATCAAGGTTCCAGGAGTTGAACGTAAAAAAAATAAATACCTAGAGCTCTCTACGTGTAGGTTACATTAGTTCCGTGCTACGGCCAAAGCGATCCATTGTCGACCATATTAGGGAGGTCCTCTCGTCTTAAATGAAAATCCGGGGCAAGCGTGCAATGCGCCCATCTCGGCCAAGAGAGAGCGAGTATGTAGCCTCTTTTTTAACGTAACATGGGGGGTGTACAAGGGCTCGTGAACGGTACCGAACGGCAGTGGTCCGTCACTTGACTATCAGTCATCGCTAGTAGCCCATCTACTGGAGGCTAGCTAACTAACGTAACTCCATACGACAAGGGCAACACTAGACGATTCCCGGCGACTGCGTGACCTCGGTTCCCTTTGTCGCCCTGATTTTCTAGCATCCTACATTCTACATTCTGGAGGCTTGCAGGCTTACGGAATCGAGACGCATTTCTGGTGTCATTATTTTACCCGGCTCTGGATCTAGAATGCACTGCAACGCAGTCGCCTGCGAGTCTGCTGCGAGAGCCAAACGAGGCGGTCTGCTGGGAGAGTCGTAGGTATGAACACATGGTAGGCACGTATTTGAATTTGAGCATGAGGAGTACCGTGGTCGATATGGGCAAACGGGGTGGAGGTGGACAACGGCGGCTGGATCCTTGTCACGACCCCCCGGTCGCACATAAAGCCCTTGTCTCTGTAGCTGGGCTCGTAGCTGGCCCTTGGTCGCATATTGGCTAGTGCTGAATACCTCATGCACGTACCCTAGTGCCCTTTTTCCCCAAGGGGAAGAGACGAGGGTTGGGGCCAGTGTCGAGACGGGACGAACGCCCACTCATTCCAAATTCTACGAGCGAAGGGGTAATGCGGTCCTTAATGTCGTCGCACAGCGTCTGGTTCCACGATGGATTCGGTGTTTAAATCTGCACTTCCTGTCCCACTACGGGGAGGATGCCGAATGTCATCTGTATGTACGTACCTGTCTGTCTACATCATGGACGCTTGTAGGGCGAATCGATAGGGCCGCGTGGCGTGGTGGATAGCTGCATCTACCGTACGACCTCTCGGGCGATGAGAGCATATCTTGCCTTGTGCCCATCCATCTACAGCAGCTCTGATGTTAATTAGGCCATGGTTGATTGTTGGGTAGGTTCCAGTTCAGAAAGTCCAACCACACATAATACGTGCGGACATACACGAGATGAGTGTGCTTGGCCCTCTTTCAATATATTTGCCCACCGTCCAGTCTCGCCAGCCGGCAGTTCATGGCGATTCGTCGAATGATACCAAGATTCTGCAGATTGGCACGCATTAATCCTTCAGTTGATTAGCTGGCGACTGAAGCCATGTAACTCTGCGAATCGCGTACCAATCAATGGCCATCACTTCCTGCATTATTATTAAGGAGTCTCCAAGTCCTGGCTCAGCTCATTGGCGAGAACACAGTTTAAAGAGAGTCGGGACGACTCAAAGGTCTTGCTTACATAGTAGATCAACACGTAGCTCCTGTAAATGAGCACGAAGGCCGTGATATGCTATCGTAGGTGGAGGAACTATTACTTTCAATGACTGAGACTTATTACTCCGGCACTAGCCATCTGAAGAAAATTTTTTTCTGGACAAGAGTGTCAAATGAAATAGCGAATGCCAACTCCATTCAAGGCAGAAGATTTGAGAGGCAGTTTGATGATAGCCTTTCTTCACACGCGGCCAATCAATTGAATTGTAGGTTGATATGTTATAGCTGAGCAATCATCCCTGTCGTAGCAGACAGATCCATCAGGCATGAAGACGCATGGTAGATAATAGGAGTTATAGAAAAAGCATCCCATGGTTGTGTCCGCGCTAAGGTACGTCGCTGGCACAGAAGGACCGTTGTGTTTTAATAGATAACGGTTGCTTGCAGCATGAACCGGATGATCATCGTATTTGGTGCTCAATACCTGGGTACTTAGTTAGCATGGAGGCTTGATACACACACACAGGCATGTACATGTATGCAGGAAGGGCGGGTAAAGCAACAAGGACGTTCTGGCCAGCGTTGGCATCGCATCCACTGGCAGGCTAGCAGCAGCTGAGTGTAACAGAGAAATGTTACACGATCTCCGAGATGAAGACATCAGGTACGGTACTACCAATACAATGACAAATCCGGAGATTTTGAGAATCATCGATCGACAATTCTTTGATCGACGGTCCGAGCGTATAGACAGGAGCTGGGAATTTCGGGACAAACCGAATAGTGGTTTCAATGTTGTGATATGTGCCTGGAAGTAACATGATTCAAACAATTACGATATTGAAATCCGATCGAATATAAGTAAAGGCGGCATGATGTTTGGTATCTATGCTTACGGCTGAATCAGGGATAATTGTGAGAAGCAGAGTCGTAACGGTTTATATGAAACATTGTAATAGAATTACATGTAAAGCAAAGGGGAAATTTTAATTCATTGAAATCTTGGTACGGAGGCGATCCGAGTCGGAACTAGCCTTATGAAAGATTAAGAGAAATTCCTTTATTTAGTAAGAGAAAACTTCAAAAAGAGGAAAATTCACAGCCAACTGCTGCTGCTGCTGCTATATAGTAA